AACATCTGGAGGCCCAAGGTTGGGGACCACTGGTTTAGAGGAATCCATCATCAACATAAAAGAGTCTCAAAACTGTCCACCTTTGAGAGTGCCATCCCCTATTCAGAATTATCTATCCAGGATAGTTTCAGAATTATCTGTCCAAGACAGTGTTTCAGTCACATCATATGCATCACACATCCACAGTATATCACCTAAAAGAAAGAAAAAAGCCAAACATCCAGGAACCACCATAGATAAATTTGTGATAAAAAGCCATCAGATTAGAAAAAAGAGTTAATTGATGAAAATATTCCCAGTTTGTTCCTGCAACACACTCTTGTTTCCATCTGATTGAAAACTCACACTGCATTAAATACAACTCAGTCACTAAGACCTAGATACAATCCACCCAGCAGACGAGATGTTGCAGGGAAACCGCTTGATAAAATGTATGGCAGCAAAATGGAGCTTGAGGATAAAGTGTTAACCTAAATTTTGATGGGTGAAATAATGTCCTGTTGTATGAGCTTGTGCAAAACAGAAGAAGAGATTTTTTTTCCTTGCAGAAACAACTGATACATCAGTAAATGCATACATGGCAGAATGCTTCAAGAAGTGGCAACAAAAGCCATAACAAGGGAACAAAAATGTACATGTTTAGTATGTAGTTTGGTCACAATGCTGCAATGTATCCAAGATGAGAAGAAATGTAGAGGAACAGAAATAGAATACAAAGTTAATAAAATATAGTTACAGTGTTCCTTTGCTGCACCTCCTAACTAAAGATTTCAGTGTTCTAGAAAAAAAGACCAGTTTTAAAATTACTAAATACTTTTGTAACAATCATTTTGCAGCAGCTGCTGCAAAACAGGCGAAACCAAGCTAATGCTCCACAGGATGTTAAATGGAACTCTGTAGTGAATTGTTTTGAGTAGTACATCAAGAACTAGCTTATTCTGATGACAGTTCATGAACAAAAGTGAGGAAAAAAAATTGGCCACTGTGATGTCCAAAATCGTCAACATTGGGTGTAAGAGAAATATTGACTGTGTGCTGAGCATCCTGAAACCCATTTCTGAAGCTCTGACAAAACATAGAAAAATAGTTGGTTTTTTGCTGATGCTGCTGAAATTTGGAAGAAACTGAGTGACCACCTAAAAACAGAACTATATACTTACAAAATTAAATTACAAGCGTTTTAAAATACTAATGGGACAAGCTGTGTTTCCAGCTTATTTTCTTGTAGATATTGTCAATATCTGGTGCCAGGATCAAACCTTAAGTGCTGAGGAAGAGGAATTAGCTATTGCATGGGTATTCAGCAATCATCCATTTGTAATGCGAACTATAATAAATGTCAGAGCAATGTGAAAACTCATTTTTATCCTCTTAATCAAGCAAATAATTGTATGATCAATAGATTTCACATAAAATAGAGTTCATTCAAAACAGATCTAAGATTTTTATCTAAATGTACAGACTGAGATTATAATCAGAAAATGTACAAGTCCTACATGTTTTCTTCCAAGAGGTAATTACTCCCAATTTGGAATATGCTGTTTAAGTTGCTGCACTTACTGGCAGTTCCTTAAGCAAACAAAGTCATTCAGACACATTAAATGAAGGCCAAATGCTTTTTAAAGATACAGTGGACCCTCAACTTACAGATGGCTTGATTTACAGACTTTTTGAGTTACAGACTTCTCTGGCTGCAAAATTTAGGTTCGACTTGCCGACCAGAAAAAAACCCAAAATGGAACAAAAATGGAACAAAAATGGCTGGTTACGGATTAATTGGTCTTCAATGCACTGTAGGTCAATGGAGACTCAACCTACAGACTTTTTGACCTGCAGCCACCATTCCAATACAGATTAATTCCGTAAGTAGAGGGTCCACTGTACTAGGTTTCTGAGTATAAATGTCCAAAAGAAATATCTTTAAAGCACTTTAGATCTGATTTTAAAAAGCTCTGCAATTACCATTTAATTAATTAATTTAGGTATCATTTAAAGATTTGAATTGGATTTATGCTCAGAGCTAAGAAACCATGAAAATCCTTTTATTTCTACCCTAGGTTAAAAAAAAAACCCTACAGTCAATAACACAAAAAGTTATTAGAACTAAAAGCCATGTCTGAAGACTTTAATTGCCGAAAATGCACAACTGTTTCCAAAGGATGAAGCAACAATGTTGGTGGATTTGAACAAATAATGTTTTAGGCATTAAGCTTGTTTTTAGAAAAAAGGCTGAAACCATGTGACTAATATTTTGCAAATTCAGAAACCACGAGTAGATATGGGGTATTCGTATTTGTATACGAATACCCCTGCACAGGTGGACATAATGAGGGCCCAGCCCTATGGGGTCGGATGGTCCACTCACTGATCTGCCATGGACACGGACGTTGCAGAGCCTTCCAATGGCTCTGGAGATAGTGTTCGGCTCGCCACTCCTGGCAGGAGGCGGGACGACAAGCCTCCATGCTAGGTTGAAGAGTGGCTCGCTGAATGCGATATCCAGAGCCATTGGAAGGCTCCACAACACCCGCACCTGTGGCAGATCGATGAGTGGGCTGTCCAGCCCCATGGGGCTGGACCCTCGTTATGTCCACCTGTGCAGATAAGCCCCATCTCGAACCATGAGAGTCCAGATCAAGGATAGAGGCATCTGATGTTGAAATTTGGTTCTGATAACTAGGAATGAACACCCCATCTAAATCTTACTGGGTTTAGTAAATCACAAGAGTGTACTGTAATTAAGATGTGACTTTATGTGCAGCTGCTGCATAAATATTTGGCAGTTGCTTTTAAAAATAAATCTCTGACAAACAGAAAATATCTCCCATTACTGCTTGGATACAATTTTAAAGGATCACATTCTTGGCATACAATAGTTGTTTGCTTATCCTCCTTCTCCCTGGAGTAAAGAGATAGATCCATTTACTAGCACATCTATTCTACCTTTGCATATTCTCTGGAATGTCTCTAGGTTTTGTGACAGACCAAGCACACAACGCTTTTCATATTATTAGTGTCTGCGCATTTTGTGCTTCTCCAGATTTCTGGATTGGTATCTCCTTGCAATTCTTCCTCTGCAACAATCTATAGCTGTGTCTGGATCAACCATGAGTGTGATGGAAAGCCAACAAATACTCAACAACATTTTGTGTGTCTATTAACAGAGGCATGAGAGATAAGCAGCTTGCTTGCCAAGAACAGTACACGTAACAGTACATTAGATCAGGGGTCCCCAACCCCCAGTCGGCGGCCCAGTGCCAGACCGTGGACTTCCCAGGACTGGGCTGTGGAGACGGATCTCCACACCCACGCACACACACACGGTGGACATGTCGTGCTCACAGGGGTGTGTGGCCCCCATGAGTGCCACACTCTACCCCACAAGCATGACACACCCCCACAAGTGTGACACGCCTCCCCGTGAGCGTGGGGGTGCCCCCGCCCCCCTCACACTGAGCCCATCCTCCAGCCAGTCCACAGTTCCAAAAAGGTTGGGGACCGCTGCATTAGACTACTGCAATGTCCGCTACGTGGGACTACCTTTGAGACTGATGTGGAAGCTTCAAATGGTACAGAATGTGGCGGCCAGACTTCTCAAAGGGTATGAAAATATCAACATATTCTCCCCCCCTGGCTGCCTCGCATTGGCTGCCCGTTCATTTCCACATTGATTTCAAAGTGTTAATGATGACATATAAAGCCCTAAATGGTTTAGGACCTTGATATTTAGCGGAACACCACCTCCCTCTTAGATCTAGCTGAATCACTCATTCTAGCCAAGAAGGGCGGCTGAGGGCCCTAACGCCGAGGGAGGCCCGGAAAGAAAGAACAAGAAACCAGGCCTTCTCAGCAATGGCCCCTCGCCTCTGGAACAGTGTGCCCCCAGAGATCTGTCTGGCCCCCTTTCTGGTTGTTTTTAAAAGCAAACTTAAAACCTGGCTCTTTAGGCAGGCTTTCCCTCCTGTCATCACCTGATTATTTTTCATATCTTGAACTATATTATTACTGTTTTTATTTTACTATATTGTTTTAACTTCCAGTTATTATTGTTAGCCGCCCAGAGTAGACTTTGGTCTAGATGGGTGGGGTATTAATGAATTAATTAAACAAACAAACAAACAAACAAACTAGACTGTTTTCTGCTTACATTTCCTATAACCCAGCTGGCCTACAGACTTTGTTCGTGCATTGCACATAAGGAACAAGAAACAGTGGCTACGTTATCTCCATGTGTTATTCTGCCCAGAGGCATTTTAAGCATGGCAGAGAAATCACAAGCAAAGCTAGACACTGCATTATGTTCAGTTGAAAACTTCTAATAGCTAGTCAAAACTTGATACTGAGTCCTACATTCACAACACTTACTGTAATTCGCTGGTTGTGATACAGCCTAGCAGACACCAACTGAAAGCAAGGCATTTTTAGGTATTAGCCAAACTTTTCTTCTGAATTATAACTGAATTAAATGTGTTCCTACCAAATAACTGGTCTAACCTGGCACTCTGGCTTCCTTGATTGAACCATGCACAATAGTTCTAAGCAGCAATTTGGAACATTTTTAGAGGCACCTAAAATTTCTTTCAGCAAAAAGATCTCTGTCAAAGCACAGAGAAAATATGGTTGAACACAAAGGAACATCCGTGGTGCAGCTTAATGAACAACATGCACAAATGTTTACTGTGCCTACTGCAACACACCCTTGAGAATTGAATAATAAAAACCCATTTTGCTTCTTTCAAAATTCCTCCCAAGTTTTTCTGAAATGGAACTCTGCAGTTGCCTCAACATTTTGTTTGAAACCAAAATACATCTAGTTATTATTTATGTCTGATAAAACACACAGAGACATCAGTGAGCTGATAACTTATTAAATAGATTAAACAGCAGTCCAGCTATGAGCATCTCTATTAATAGTATTTAGCATAATTGTCAATTCAATATGACATTGAGAGAGCATATGTATGTTGCTTGTTGTTGTTGTTACATTGAAAAATACTCACAAATTCAGTCTCCTGTTTGGACTCAGAAGAGAAATTCAGCGTGTCTGTGTTTTGCGAATCGTATTTGTAGCGCTGGGTATTTTTGGCATGCTCTTTCCTGATGATATCTATTTTGATGTGGTGAGCATGTGACAACAGCTGGTGCGTACTGGGGCCAGACTGATTCTCAGTGCTACTGAAGTTCTGCCCTTCATCTGAATCACTGGAATTCCCTTTAAAAATGTAAAAAAACAAATTAAAATAAATTAGCAAACTATTCTTTAACAACTGATGACAGCTTACTTACAAAGATGTTTATTTATTTAATATATTTCTATCTTGCTTTTCTCCCCCAAAAGGACCCAAGGCGGCTCTATGTTTCTGAATACTGCAATTATTAAAATAGTATTGATATTATACCATTACTCAAAATAAAGTAATAAAATAACAAATTAAAATAAGATCAATTTAGTCTCTCTCTCTCTCTCTCTCTCTCTCTCTCTCTCTCTCTCTCTCTCTCTCTCTCTCTCTCTCTCTCTCTCTCTCTCTCTCTCTCTCTCTCTCTCTCTCTCTCTCTCTCTCTCTCTCTCTCTCTCTCTCACACACACACACACACACAGAGAGAGAGAGAGAGAGATTTTCAGCTACTCAAGCCACAATGGTTAAAATTTGGGCACCTATTCTAGAGTATTCCACTAAAGTCAATGGCACTATTTGGAGTAAGTGGTTTGAAGGCAGCGGCCTCAGTATCATATAGACACCACAATTTATTTCCTTAAAAGAAAGAGTTCAGTGTTCTGACTGAAGGGATCCAGTGACTTTTCAACCTATCATTCCAGTGTTATTACTGGGCTGTGGGGCTTGTGTATCTTTCACTTATATTTAGATGTTCGAAAACTATCCTATAAGTTCTAAATTGACTTGTTTTCACAGTCATATTTTTTAAACCACTAAAATCTAGCAAATTGCCTTTGCTGTATTTAAAGAAATATTTCTATCACCCACCAAAAGAGGGCAGATTTGATCTTTTGACTTGATCGTTCCCACCATCAAATAAAATATCTGGTGGTAACTTTCCAAATAAAAAAAATTCAAGTAATTTGTCCCTGTCTTTTAAATAACTTAGGAATCACCTATTATATAAAATGCATAGTCACCTTCACAACTATGTGCTCCTTTACACTCTGTACTATTAACAGAGACATGACAAATCACTGATACAAATATTGAACCATGTCCAATTGTAGGTCCCAATTAAACTACATCCACTAGATCAATAATATTTACATAAATATGAACTTAACAAGCCCCATTCACTCAATAAGCCTAATCTAGGTCAGACTAACAATGACATTCCACACATTACCTATACGCTTTTAGACATAAGGTACATTATTTTATATGTAATGCTATTTGGGAGAATAAGAAATTGAATCCATTTCACATTTGTGCAAGACCTCAACTTTCATCCCAAACATTATGCTTTTATGATTTTTTTCTAAAAAAATTTAAAAAATCCCTGTGAAAAAGTTTCTAAATATAAGATCAACCCGGTAAGACAGACACAATGGTTCTTTCCATGCACTTAAGAGGCAAAGGATAAACTGTATTCCTTTCTGGTACAACTGGAGCTGGCTGCAATTCTTCTGTGATATGATTTCCAACTTCATGATCCCCAAATTTACTGAATAATTTCATTTCAGCCAAAGGCTATCTGCAGCAATAAAACTGCAAATGCAGAAATATAGGGAACCTTTTAAATGAAAGACTGGGAATATATTGGCCTTAAATCTGTTCACCAAATTTATCTTTTTAAGAATCTGAATTCATAGATTTCAAAAAAATCAAAACTGAAAATGAATGCTCGAGCTTTTCATTCCTGTCAAAGAAAGTATGTTCACAAGTAGAGATTAGGATATTCATAGTCATATACAAATACGTATATCCCTGACACATTTGGACCTCATGAGGGTCTGGCCCCTGAGACCAGACCATCTTCTCACATGTCTTGCTGTAGCACCAATCCCATTCGTCCTGCCAATGGTGCCCAGAGCTCCACTCTCTTCCTGCTCAACAGGCCACTCTAGGCAGGGGGCGGGAGGATAAGTCTCCCTGCATGGCTGCTGAGCAACCAGCCGGACAAGAGGAGAGCAGAGCTCCAGCTGCCATTTACAGAACTTTATTACATTACAAAACCTGAGACCCTCTTTCGTATACATATTTACTAATGTCTCACTGTTGGACAGTAACAACTCAGTGGAATCCAATTATACTACGTTCTGTATTTTTCTGTGTATAAGATGATACTTTTCTCTAAAATTTTTAGATTAAAAATTGAGAATTGTTTTATACATGGAAGTAAGGAGGAGGGGAAGGGATCAAAGCACTTTGATCCCTGCTTTCCCCCTCCACTTTCTTCACAAGAAAGCAGAGGGGGAAGGCAGGGATCAAAGTGCTTTGATTCCTGCTTCCCACCTCCACTTTCTTACAAAGAAAGTGCTTTTCCCCTCCACTTTCTTCTCAAGAAAGTGAAGGGGGGAAGCAGGGACTTTCTTCGCAGGAAAGTGGAGACGGAAAGCAGAAATCAAAGTTCTTTGATCCCTGCTTTCCCCCTCCACTTGCTAAAACCACTTAATTTTCCTAATGTAGGTTTAGCCGCCTAGAGTGGTCGTATTTGAAAGGCAAAAAACCAACAACCTCTGAACAAATAAAAGAATGAAACTGTATGGCTATGTAAATTACTTAAAACTTATTTTAAAGACCAAAGAGACAGAACAGACACGTATGAAATTTATCATATCCCTTTGCTGAAAATCTACACACACACAGAGAGAGAGAGAGAGAGAGAGAGAGAGAGAGAGAGCTATTGATGACTGATATTCAACAGACAAGTAAATGAATGTTTTCTAACCCCTAAACAGATACCACAGATTGGTATGTTTGTTGGTTTTTCATTTGTTACAGTTGCAACCTGCCCTTCCTTTTCAGTATCTCAGGTTAAGGTTTTCAGGCTTAGATCAATGATTTTCACATAAGCTTTTCTAAACTAGAAAGCTTTTTAGGCAAGCATTTCCATGTCATTTTTTTTCTAATTCACATCAGATGCACAGTAACGACTTCCTAGATGTAGATGCTTCCTCTTTCTTCAGCCCTCAGATACAATATGACTTTCTGCTTTTATTTGTCAAGGAATTTCAGTCTTGTTCAGTATGTTGCATAGGATTCTGAGCCATGTTCTAGACTGCACATATGTGTTCTTTATGCAGGATATCAGCAGGAGCTTTGGGGCCTCATGTCAATAGGATCTGAGCATTACATGGGAAGATGGCCAGTGGTAGTCAACCTGTTATTGAGGAAATTTTGGATTTCAGAGTGATCAAACTGATGAAAGATTTTGTTAAATCCCAAGCTTCATATGACACAATTTGGAAAGCAATCCCATGCAACAGCAAACCTATGCAAGCCAGACAAATCTGTTTGATTTGCAATTTTTTAAAAATTGTTTCAAGAATTTCAAGGGGAACCTACTAAACAATGATGAATCTTTTGAGTAAACCTTGAATGTCAACTCCAATAATTCTCACTAAGAAGAAAAAAGCAGCTGTCCACAAGCAGGACTTCTTGGGCTCCCCCTCCTCACTCCACCTTTGGCTACTAAGAGTTCTTTATCTGAGGCTACAGTGAAGAGGTCCTACTTACATGTAGCCTAGGCAAGTCTCTACACACTATATAATCAAAGATGAAAGAAAATAATCCAGTTATCTTTTAATTGTCACAACGGTGCATCACAGATTTGTAGTACTGAGTACTGAACTCTGCTCTCAGTTCCAACTAGACTAGGCCCACTGAATTAACTGAACTGGTTAAATCAACATTGATGTAAGTCCCATTTATCTCTTTAGACCACTGGCCATTGTTATGTTGCAACAATTAACACACTAGATACAGAATGACTCTGGAAATTAACTCAAGAGAAGCTGCACAACTAGCTTCTCAGCTGAGAAAAGCTGCAATCTATATAACACCAGCTACAATCAATGTAGAATGCACAAAAACAGCTAATAATCATAGAAGAATTGAGTTGGAAGTGACCTATAAAGCCATCGAGTTGAACTCCCCTGCTCAATGCACGAATCCAAATAAGATGGCTGTTGAATTTTCTCTTTAATGCCTCCAGCACTGAAGTGCTCACTACTTCCTGAGGTAACTAGTTCCACTGTCATACTGCTCTAACAGGATGTTTTTCTGATATTCAATTGAAATCTGGCTTCCTGTACCTTGAGCCAACTATTACATGCCCTACACTTTGGGATGATTGAGAACAGATCCCACCCCTCCTCTGTATGACAATATTTCAACTATTTAAACAGTGCCACTGTAACACCCTCAGTCATCATTTCTCAAGTCTAAACATGCCCAGTTCTTTCAGTCTTTCCTCACAGGGCTTGGTTTCTAGTCTCCTGATCATACTTGCTGCCTTCCTCTGGTCTTAACTTTATCCAGATTGTTGGCATCCTTCTTCAAGTGAAGTGTCTAGAACTGGATACAGTACTCATGATGAGGCCTAACCAGTGCCAAACAATCTAGTACTTCAGAAGATTTGGAGTCTATACTTCTGTTAATGCAGTCCAAAACAGCATTTGCCTTTTTTGCAGCTGCATCACACTGTTGGCTGATATTCAGCTTGTGGTTCACAATAATTCCAAGATCCTTCTTGCATAAAGTATTACTAAACCATGTATACTCCATCTTGCAACTGTACATTTGCTTTCTCTTTCCCATATGTAGAACTTTGCTCTTATCCCTGTTAAATTTCATTCTATTGCTTTCAGCACAGTGCTCAAGCCTTTCTGAATTTTGTTTATTTTCCAGAGTTTTAGCTATTTCACTGGATTTTGTGTCATTGACAAATTTGATAAGCATGAGAGATGGGGGTATTTGCATTCAAATATGAATATCCCCGCACAGGTGGCGTTAATGAGGGTCCAGCCCCATGGGGCCGGACAGTCCACTCATCGATCTGCCAGAGATGTGGACTGCACGATTCTACCAATGGCTCCACAGTGCGCTATCCACTCGCCACTCTTTGACCTTCCAGCGAGTCTTGTCCTCCCCTCTCCTGACAGGAGTGGCAAGCAGATCGTACGCTGCAGAGCCATTGATAGAACTGTGCCATCCACGGCCATGGCAGATCGGTGAGTGGACTGTCTGGCCCCATGGGGCTGGACCCTCA